CGGGTCCTCCACATGAAATCCGGAGCCATTTAAGTGAAGCCCAGTTTGAATGCACTGAACATCAGGTGCCCATTGAAGTGCTTTTAAGAATTGCCTCCAAATATGACACATCTTTACAACGACTGGTGAGTCAGTCGCTGAGAGCGAAGAGTCAATTAAAGCACAGGTGTTTAGTTGATGGCTATTTGGCGCCCGAAGGCATCATCAATAAAACCAATAAATTTGATTTGAGACAAATGTGGGAATTGTTTGGCCGAACAATGCTCTGTCAGTTGAGGTCTCAATGGAAGGCAACATTGGCTCAGTTTATATTCTTGCAAATACTCGGTTGGATTGCGACCCAAATATATAACGAACACATTGGAGAACCCGACGGATGTTTCTCTTTGGCCACTAATTCAGACAACAATTGTCTAAAAACAGTGGAAGGATTGCGCGAAGAGGCGCTTCTTTCACAAAATTTAAGATTCCTATTCTTCTCCGGACTATTGCTGTCGACCCTTATGTCAATCGCAACGGTCTTACTCTTTGCTTCTGAGATCAAAGTGTTTATGAATGAACGCAAAAATGGTATGAATTATTTGCAAACAATTAACTAAATCTTTAGTATATTTTATTAAAAATAGTTTAATTGGAAATTATATTAATGAATAAACAATTAGTAATGGATTTAATTTGATAATAGGTTGGTATAGCACGGGATCCTATTTTATGGCCAAAAATGTGTCAGAAATCCCATCATTTCTATTGATAGTCGTCTGTTATTTCTTTATTATCTATAAAACTAATAATCAAATCTCAGAAACCAAACGAATGGTTGGATTTTTGCTGGTTTTGATCGGCGAATGCTTTTGCGGCCAAAGTTTGGGCTTTTTTGTTGGCATCGCAACCAATGCTAACTTCAAACTATCAGTAGTGCTCGACATCGGCGTTGTTATCGTCTCTCTGTTCTTCAGTGGGTTTCCCGCACCGATCCAGGAGTTGCCCGATTGGCTTCAGTTTATCGCAAACTTTTCATACATTAAACAGGCGTTTGAAATGCATTTGTATCTAATCTATGGCTTCGACAGGTGTCCGAAGGGAACCGTACCCTCACTTCTATACCAATACAATTTGGTCGATGAGAAGAAGTTCTGGTTTAATGTTCCCATTTTGCTCATTCATGGCCTCGTATTACGGGGTTTGGCTTTTTTGGCACTTTATATGAGGACTAATCAAATAACTCTCAGAACTCTTATAAAATCAGTCGTAAAATCAGAGCCAAAGGGGAAGAAAACCAGAGTTAATTCAATTGATGATAACATTTATATGTGAGACTTATTGTAAATATTCAATATATTTATCACATCTTTATTATAGCTTTAATCACAACTATTGTCTTTAAGTAACAATTAGAAATTAAATGCATGTTATTATCATATGTAAAATCAATATTTAATTTAAAGTAAACATATTAAAGCATATGCATTTAACACAGATTTATGTTAATGCAAATGAATTTGCACATGACTTTATTTAATAATATTATAATGCAATTTATATTTTTAAATTTATAAATTAAGTGACATATGTTTGCATGTATTTGTGTGCGAAACGACTGCAAGACTATACCTTAAAGTGTAGGACACCTGCAGATGTCCTGCAGATAACTGACCGCAACTTTCATATAATTAATTATCTGACATGTAATGCAATGCATAGATAATTAATGGCGTTAAGTGTGAACTAACGATATCAATATCAATAACATTATAACACTATTAATATGTATTTTATGGCAAATAATAAATGAACACTTGTTTGCAAAGAAAGTAAAAAATATTCTCATCTTTTAGTTCACAGCTGTGTTTTGTTAGCAAATTTTTCTCTCATTCCTCTTCTATTACGCTCTCTCTCTCTCTCTCTCTCTCTCTCTCTCTCGCACTCAAACACAATGTTGTGTATAAGTTATAAACTAATGTCTAATGTATTTCTTAAATACATTTAAATAGTAACTTAAATAAAAAGTTAATCCAAAGTCAAGCTATCGGTGAGTTCGGGACAACTGTGTCAACACTGGGTTAACAATATATAGTGCCTCTCATTGGGAGGACATCTGCAAACAAGTCAGGTCTTGAGCAACAAAAACTCATGTCAATACTAAACACACAAATATCTAACACTGTTTATTATGTGACCCAAACTCTCCCGGGTGTTAGTCCATGCCTCTCATTGGGAGGACATCTGCAAACAAGTCAGGTCTTGAGCAACAAAAACTCATGTCAATACTAAACACACAAATATCTAACACTGTTTATTATGTGACCCAAACTCTCCCGGGTGTTAGTCCCGGACCTGTGCTAACCATTAGACAGACCAATACAGGCCGCACACGAATCACTACACTTCCCAATAGTGTACACCATAATAATACCCTTACATTATTAGACACATTGTGTCTTAAATAAATTTACTCAACAAAAAAACAATTAATGGCAAAAATAGGCAACTTTTAGTAAACACAAAAAAGTTTTATAACAAATGAATTCAAAATACAATTGTCTTCTAATAGAAAGCGTTGTTTTATTTAATAACTCTTCATTAAAACAATGTTTGCGTTTGTTTTAATCATTGATGGCCGCATTCAGATCCCAATCTTTACAGGAGAGCAGATGGAGGGCACCGTTGCGGTCAATGGTCTTCGCGTTCATCAATCTGTCGATCTTATCAATAAACTCTTGAAATTGATTTTTGTCGACAGTTTTGCGCGTCTCGTCATTCATGGCGTGATAATAAGTCCAATACCTGGCCGTCCGTTCGTACAGCGGCTTGTTTCGCCTGTACTGACCGGCGACAGTGCCGTCTAGAGGGTTAGTGGATTCAGGACTGGACAGGAATGAGCGCAACGACCGGAGCAAAGCCTCTATAGTAGTACCGGCCGACCAGTTATCCTTTGTCAACAGATCCAGACAAATCACTCCCGTCTGTGACGAGACGTTCGGATGCCAGACGAGTGTCAAGAACTTACACTTCGGCGGTTCGATTGGATATCCCTCAGGTATTGAGATATCAATCCTGAAGACACCGTTTTGATAGGGAGTGTCGGGCGGGCCATGAATTTTGCCAATAAAGTGTGAAGTGTTTTCTCCATCGAGTTCTATACACCAATGATTTCTTTTCAGATTATTGTCTTTCATTATTTCCTTAATCTCATTATTAATTCTCTTTCTACTCCCCATCTCTGCGTTGGGATACCTTTTTGTCCGTTAATTTCTGGACAAAAAATTTGTTGTGCGGTAAACGAGTGCATAAAATAGTGACTTTAAATTAATTTTATATTTTCTCTGTAAACGCATTGTTGAACGCATGAAGTGAGAGCTCATAAGAAGTTGTATTGTATGTAAAGTTGTATTCTTTATAAATGTGGACATTCTTTCCACAATTCTTGTCCAGCGCTTACAATAAAACAATTAATAATAGACCTTGATCCACAACAAATCATGTCAATACTAAACACACAATACAGAACACAATTTATTATGTGATCCAAACTCTCCCCGGTGTTAGTGTTGGACCTGTGCTAACCATTAGACAGATTAATACTACTAACAGAGCACACGAATCACTACACTTCTTAATAGTATACATTTATTGAACACATTAAGTCAGAATATATTTAACTGAGTTTTTTGTTAATTGTCTTTTAATTTGTTGAAAATAAACAGTTAATAATAAGAAGTTTTTTACTTAAGTTTAAGGTTAACAGAAGTTTATCTTTCGCAACTAAACAAATTCAACTCATTATTAAAACAATGTTCGGTTTGTTTTAATGGTTGTGTCATTTGAGGGCTTGATTCAGATCCCAATGATTATTGGAGAGGAGAGTGAGGGCAGTGTTGTGATCCATGCTCTTCGCGCTCATCAATTTGCCGATCTTCTCATTAAACTCTTTAAATTGGTTTTTGTCGACAGTTTTGCGCGTCTCGTCATCCATGGCGTAATGATAAGTCCAATACCTNCAATGATTATTGGAGAGGAGAGTGAGGGCAGTGTTGTGATCCATGCTCTTCGCGCTCATCAATTTGCCGATCTTCTCATTAAACTCTTTAAATTGGTTTTTGTCGACAGTTTTGCGCGTCTCGTCATCCATGGCGTAATGATAAGTCCAATACCTGGCCGTCCGGTCGTACAGTTGACGGTTGTCTGTGTACTGATGGGCGACGACGGCGTCCTGAGGGGTCGCGGGGTTTGGACTCGGAAGGAATGACTGCAACGACCGGAGCACAGCCTCTATAGTGGTACAGGCGGACCACTGATCCTTCAACAGGTCTACACATATCACTCCCGCCTGTGACGAGATGTTCGGATGCCATACTTTGGTCACGAACTTACAGACCGGCGGCTCTAATGGGTATTTGTCGGGAATAGTAATATCAATCTTAAAGACACCTTTTTCAAAGGGAGTGTCGAGTGGACCAACAATTTTGCCAATGAAGTGTGATTTGTTTTCTCCCGTGAGTTCTATACAGTACTGATTTCTTTCCAGATCGTTGTCTTTTATCAGATCCTGGATTTCTTTATTAAGTCTGTATTTATATTTACTCATCTTTACGTTGGGATACCTGTTGTCCGTTAATTCGNGTTCTATACAGTACTGATTTCTTTCCAGATCGTTGTCTTTTATCAGATCCTGGATTTCTTTATTAAGTCTGTATTTATATTTACTCATCTTTACGTTGGGATACCTGTTGTCCGTTAATTCGGGACATAAATCTGTTTTACTGTAAACGAGTGCATAAAATAGTGAATTTAAATTAATTATATTAGTTTTCTTTATAAACGCATTGTTGAGCGCTTGAAGTAAAAACTCATAAGGAGTTGTGTATTGTATGTATAAATGTTGAGAATCTCCTGAATTCTTGTCGAGCGCTTACAGTATAAACAATTAGGTCTTGAGCCACAAAAACTCATGTCAATACTAAACACACAAATAACTAACTCTAGTTATTATGTGACCCAAACTCTCCCGGTTGTTAGTCCTGGACCTGTGCTAACCATTAGACAGACCAATACAGGCCGCACACGAATCACTACATTTCCCAATAGTGTACACTTTAATAATACCATTACATTATTGGACACATTATGTGTCTTAAATAAATTTACTTCCATAACAATTAACAGCAAAAATAGACAATATTTTATTGAAAAGAAAACTCTTTTATGAAAAATAAATTCAAAATACAATTGTCTTCTAATAGAAAGCGTCGATTTGTTTAACAACTCTTTGTTAAAACAATGTTTGCGTTTGTTTTAATGGTTGTGTCAATTGAGGGCTTTATTCAGATCCCAATCACAACAAGAGAGGAGAGAGAGGGCATTCTCGTGGTCCAAGTTCTTCGCGCCTTTCAATTGGTTGATCTTCTCCTTAAACTCTCTGAATTGGTTTTTGTCGACAGTTCTGCGCGTCTCGTCATTCATGGCGTAATGATAAGTCCAATACCTCGCCGTCCGGTTGTAGAGCTCGCGGTTCTGGACGTACTGATGGGCCACAACCGCGTCCTGCGGGTCATTGGGCTCTGGACTCGACAGAAACGACTGCAACGACTTGAGCACACTTTCGACAGTCATGGCGGCCGCCCACTGATCCTTCAGGATATCCAGACATATCGCTCCCGTCTGTGACGACACGTTCGGATGCCATACTTTGGTCACGAACTTACAGACCGGCGGCTCGAATGGGTATTTGTTGGGAATAGAGATATCAATCTTGAAGACACCCCTTTGGAAGGGAGTGTCCGGAGCGCCAAGAATTTTGCCAAAGAAGTGGGAATTGGTTTCTCCATCGAGTTCTATACAGTAATGATTTCTTCGCAGATCATTGTCTTTCATCATATTCTGAATCTCTTTATTGATTCTCTTATTGCTGCCCATCTCTGCGTTGGGATACCTTTTTCCGCTAATTTCGGGCCAAAAATCTGTTGTGCGGTAAACGAGTGCCTAAACCAGTGAACGGAATATTTTGTTTGATATTTGAATTTAAATTAATTTTGATTTTTCTGTATATAAACGCATTGTTGAGCGCTTGAAGTGAGGGCTGAATTGTATGGTTGTATTGTATGTATAAATGTTGGGATTCTCTCCTCAATTCTTGTCGAGCGCTTACAATGTAAACAATTACAGACCAAAAACCTTTTGGCAAATATCTGTAACTGAAAGTGTTTTTAAAGTCTATATTTATTTAAAAACTACTTTTCAATGTTTTCAATAAATAATACTTTGCTATTCATTCAAATAAAAGGTGTCTTTTGGTTACTATTCACAATATGTGACCACATTTTTGTTTGAATACAAAGCATAGACTACACCGTAGACTACATCTTAAACAGTGAATAGAGTGTTAATTGATGGACACTATATGGCAAACAATTGTTGTCTTTGTATTCAAAAATGTTGTTAACATTCCTTATAATTATTCTGTTTATATACTAATTATACAATATTTACTTATTTCTGCGAATCTCTATTGTATTTCATAATAGAGATCATGAATAGAGAGAAAAATATACAGTAAAGTAGATGTTTGTCGACTTGCAATCGATTACAACATTTTCTATTGAAAACTACAAATAATTGTTGAATAAACGAATAGATAATGAGCTATCGGTTATCCAAATAGTGTACAAAATGTATGGCATATATAATACAATACAATACATATGTGTATCGATGATAGGATAGGTCTTTCCCTGGAAGATTTAAAAACTACTTTTCAATGTTTTCAATAAATAATACTTTGCTATTCATTCAAATAAAAGGTGTCTTTTGGTTACTATTCACAATATGTGACCACATTTTTGTTTGAATACAAAGCATAGACTACAGTGTAGTCACTACACCGTAGACTACATATCAAACAGTGAATAGAGTGTTAATTGATGGACACTATATGGCAAACAATTGTTGTCTTTTGTATTCAAAAATGTTGTTAACATTCCTTATAATTATTCTGTTTATATACTAATTATACAATATTTACTTATTTCTCCGAATCTCTATTGTATTTAATAATAGAGATCATGAATAGAGTGAAAAATATACAGTAAAGTAGATGTTTGTCGACTTGCAATCGATTACAACATTTTCTATTGAAAAGTACATATAATTGTTGAATAAACGAATAGATAATGAGCTATCGGTTATCCAAATAGTGTACAAAATGTATGGCATATATAATACAATACAATACATATGTGTATCGATGATAGGATAGGTCTTTCCCTGGAAGGGATGGCAATACTCTTGTAGTAGTTTTTTATGAACAATATTTCTAAAGGAAGCGAATTAAATCTTTAATATCTATTCGCAGTCACGTTATTATGTTATAGAAAAATAACAAATAACATGACATAAGGCTGTTTGGAGAGAGAGAGAGAATTAATAATGAGATTCAGAATATGATGAAA